ACTTAAACTGAGCTAGTTAGATTGCACTAGATTTACAACTCATGTACTTCCAACTCTAGAATTCTTAGATTTCACATCCCTGTTATAAATCACATAAACTATCATGTTGGTTGGTTTTGATCAGTAAATAGGCGATAGATTACTTCAGCACTTAGGATTTTGTGGTGCTTAACTATTATAAATGAAAAGCAAATTACAATGCTGAGTTTATGTGTATACATGTTATCAAGTTTTAATTTTTTTTTGTATTAGTGCTTGTGGATGCCCTGTACATTTTTCATAACATTAAGCCTTCCCAAGGTTTGGTTGCTAATTCATATATTCCACTGTAAATTAGAAACTACTAGAGGAAGTGATGATGCTTTTCTAATTTGGTGGTTCTTGACTATATTTGGAAGATGTTCATTATTTGTAGATGACTTTCAGTAAGTGATACGAAAATAAGCATAACTTGATGAATATCTGGACTTCTTATTTAGTGGATTTAAATAGGAAGTAAAAAATGTTTTGGTAAGCAATTGTTTATAAAGTAGTATAAATCTGCAAAGTACATTTCATACTCTTTCCTTTGGTTCTTGGATTGTCTTGATGAATATATATGGTGGTACAAATATTATTCCAGTTTCACAGAGAAAAAGACTAAAGCTCTTAGAAGTTTTCGCTTTGCCATAGTCACAGCTCATGAGATGCAGAGTGATTTGAAGTCCATTATTTATTTGTTTATTGTCTTTTAAATATACAAATTTTATAAAATGTTACATACCATAAAAAATATATCTAAATTTTCTAATCTTTAATATCGAGTGTATACATTTTATGTCACCTTCATCTCATTTTCTCTTAAAATGGAAGATGACCTTAGTGATTTTGTTTACTTATTTCTGAAACTTTGACTTTAAGGTACTGTCAATGCCTGTAATATTATTATTAGTATTATTTGAGTTTTATGGTATCCAAGAGGTAGCTTGCAGTTTTCTGTTACCAAAAAAAAGAGAAAGAGATAAAGAGACATAGTGATTTATTTTAGGTTTCATATTCAAAATACTTTTTATTTTGTAAATTAACTGAAGGCATTTAATATTTTTTAAAATCTTTTTTTTTTTTTTTTTTTTAAGATTTTATTTATTTGACAGAGAGAGACACAGCGAGAGAGGGAACACAAGCAGGGGGAGTGGGAAAGGGAGAAGCAGGCTCCCCGCAGAGCAGGGAGCCCGATGCGGGACTCAATCCCAGGACTCTGGGATCATGACCTGAGCCGAAGGCAGTCGCTTAACCAACTGAGCCACCCAGGCGCCCCAATATTTTTAAAAATCTTATCAGTTAACCCTGACTTAAATTTCCACTTTTAATTTTTACATTGGTAGGAATAGTCATAGAAGTTTTCTTTGGGTGCTCACCAATTTAATTTTTTTTTTAAAAAAATACAGTAATTGAAAGGAAATACATACTTTTATAACTGTTTTGTACCTTTGTACAATTTTAAACTAATAATTTAGTTTTAAAATTTGACTGGTTATACTTCGATGTATATTCAACCTGATGTAAAGCCCTTAACAAATAACAAATGGAGTGCCTCTGGTCAAGTTAGAATTTAAACCATTCCACGTTTAAAGACTCCATCCTGGGCGCCTGGGTGGCTCAGTTGGTTGACCAACTGCCTTCGGCTCAGGTCATGATCCTGGAGTCCCTGGATCGAGTCCCAAATCCGGCTCCCTGCTCGGCAGGGAGTCTACTTCTCCCTCTGACCCTCCCCCCTCTCATGTGCTCTCTCTCATTCTCTCTCTCTCAAATAAATAAAATCTTTAAAAAAAATAAAATAAAATAAAGACTCCATCCTTCAAATGAAAAGTATTTGTACATATTTTTTCAATTGTAAATAACTCATTAAAATATACACATTTTATGTCCAGTTACTTTAAACTATGTGCCTGTTGTTCTAGGCAATTTGAAAATCTGATCTTAAGATTTGTTTTAAAATAGGGGCGCCTGGGTAGCTCAGTCGGTTAAGCGGCTGCCTTCGGCTCAGGTCATGATCCCAGGGTCCTGGGATCGAGCCCCACATCGGGCTCCCTGCTCGGCAGGAAGCCTGCTTCTCCCTCTCCCACTCCCCCTGCTTGTGTTCCCTCTCTCGCTGTGTCTCTCTCTGTCAAATAAATAAATAAAATCTTTAAAAAAAAAAAAAAGATTTGTCTTAAAATAGAAACTGTGAATCTCAGCAATAAACTTCTTATCCTAGCTACTGTAGGGTTTTTTGTTTTTGTTTTTGTTTTTTTGTTTTTTGTTTGTTTGTTTGTTTTTGCCCTCTTGGAGTTTGGTAATCAGAAAGTAAGAGTTGTGTTTCTCATTGCTTGATATATTTAGCAAATCCACGCTGTAACATCTTAAAATTTTGTCTTTCAAACTCTGCTTGACCATGATAATTTGGTTCTAAGCCAGAATTGTTTTAAATAAAAATTATGTTTTGGCTTCCTTTGGGCATTTTCTTTGTGCTATAGTGTGTTCAATAGAATTGTTTTCTCATTAATGAAATCTATTTTGATTATACTATGAAAAATTCCTGTCATCTGAGCTAGTGGTGTGGATTCATTTATTAAAGTTCTTCCAAAAGATTAGGTAGCAAGCTATATGAAAGAATTGTAGTGCTCTTCTTAAAATGAGGCATAACAGGATTTCAGTTAACATTGTCAGAAATCACTGTATGAATATAAAATTGCTCAGTGTGACATTTGTTCATATATTTTATCCTCTTCTATGAGGGACTTGGGTAATGAAGGGTATATTTGACTGTCATTTGCCAGTTGGAAAGGCTCCAAAAAACAAGGAGGCATTTGTACATGTGCAGATGTTGGCAGGGTTCCCTTTTCTCCTGTTGTCAAAGACCGGTTTATTTTCACAAAGATATATTTGTATCTGTCCTACAGTATAACATGTGAATAATATACCAATAATGTATGGAGGAATTTTTTGTTTTACTTTTTGTGGGACAAAACTATATAATCTCATATATTACCAATTTTTAATGCTTTTCCTTTTTTTCATTTAATGTCATAGACTTTATACATGAATACTTCTGGGAAACAGTTAAATCTTTTGTAATTATTTGTGTAAATTTTGAAGGTTAGGTATTTTAAAATTGGGAGAAAAAGTTGAAAATAAGATGGTTAGCAAACATTTTTTTGCAGTTCACATTGGACATGAGCAGTCTCACTTTTCCCAGTACCCAAAAGAAATAAAAAATTCTCAGGTATAAGATGAAAAATGTGCTTCCGTCCTCCTTCTTGCTAAAGAATCAGATGTTGCCTTTGAATTAAAATTGAATCAATTCATTTACTATATTTAAAGATTCATACTATTATATCTAAATTTTTAATTTACATAATTAGTGTTTTATCACAAAACTGTAGATATTAAAATTTAAAAGAAAGTTACACGTAAAAAGAAACAATTACAGTTTCTGTGCATTAATAGTTATAGTTGAAAGGAAGCACAAATGAAAATAGGTGATTATGGATCAAGTTTAGTTCTAAGAACATTTTGTTTTAAAGTTGATAAACATATTAATATTAAGGATATTACTGATTTTTTTCAATTTTATGGAAGTTCAGGGTAAACTTAATATTACTTATTTTCATAAGCAGTCCAAGAAAAAGAGCCTCATCTCTAGCTCTTTAAATGTGTGTAGATTGGGGTGCCTGGGTGGCTCAGTGGGTTAGGCATTTGCCTTTGGCGCAGGTCATGATCCCAGGGTTCTGGGATCAAGCCCTGCATTGGGCTCTCCACTCAGTGGCAAGTCTGCTTTTCCCTCTCCCTCTGTGATCTCTCTTTGGCCCTCTCTCAAATAAAATCTTTAAAAAAATGTATGTAGATTGTTCAATTTTAGCAATAGAAGTAATCTGTATTTATATTCTGCAGTGTTTTGCTCTGTTTCCCCTACAGTGTTTATGTGAATATCATTTTATAATTTCCCCCCCATTTTAAGGAAAAGTGCTAGGCTTCCTCTATACTTCCTCTAGTCATGTTATCTTCCAAGAAGTTGTTTAAAACATTACTTCCCATCCTTTTGCACCACAATGCTCATTTTCGCACTGGAAAGTATCTTAGATAAAGCCTGACATTTAAGTTTAAAGTGACTTGTTTATCAACGCAAAAGACTTTTATTTTAGGATGTTAATTTTCCCAGTGGTTATAAAATCCATTAGGAAACCTTGCTAAGATTAGGAGAATAAATAATTTTAAGGTTGAGCTAAAGGTGAACAGAAATACAGTGGCAGTAGAAAGGAAACAAGACTGACTTGGGACCAGAGGTACTTGGAGTGCAGGTTGCATCAATAGGATATCAGATTGCTCTTTACTAACCTTTGGGTGTAGGTTAAGAAACACTTCTATAAATCCCTCTCTAAATTGTACCCCCACCTGCTTGTGGACTAGGTAGCGTCTCTATTAAATGCTCTCTTAGGACCCACACCACTTCCTAGTAACTAACATTTATACACAAAATTATTTGCTTAGTATCTGTCTCCTCTTCTAAAATTTTTATTTTAGAGACTGTTTAGTTCACTCTTAATTGCCAGCAAGTACAGTGCATGGTGCCTGGTAAATACTTGCTGGCTAATAGGCCTGCAGTGCTGTTCATTCAAAAGAAAAGATGGTTGACTGTACTTATACCAAGTCAAAAAGATACAGGAAAATGTAAATACTTCCAGATTTGGTAATAAGGAAGGTGCCTTATGTTTGTTGATCAGTTTGGTTCTGAAATTTATGAGCAAGACTTACTCTGTTTTAGCTTTATAATGTAAAGTTACATATTTAAATTTTTTTTCAGGTCCATAGTAATGGTATGAATTAGGAAAGAAATCACATTTATCTCTCTCCAACTCCTGAATATAACAAGAAATCCAAGTAATGCATGCCTAGTAATAATCTCTGCTGAGAGGATCTGCGGGTAGACCTAGAATATTTTAATCAGAATCTCTTATGATATTAAGATAATTCTTTTGTAGAGTTTTCCGTCTGATGAAGGTTGGCCATTTGCAAAATATCTTGGAGCTTGTGGAAGAATGGTGGCTGTAAGTTATGTTGGAGAAGAACTGTGGAGTTACTTTAATGCACCATGGGAGAAACGAGTTGACCTCGCTTGGCAATTAATGGAAATAGCAGAGCAGCTTACAAACAATGACTTTGAATTTGCACTCTACCTCCTGGACGTCAGTTTTGACAATTTTGCAGTTGGTCCTAGAGATGGGAAGGTAATCATTGTGGATGCTGAAAATGTTTTGGTTGCTGACAAAAGGTTAATTAGACAAAGTAAGTATATAACTTACATTTGCTTCTTAGACACATTTTTTTAATGTCAAAGTTTGCATTTATATGAAACAAACCTTTAATTTCCTTCTTAGATGGAAGCCTTGCCTCTTTGTTTTATTTGACCAGTATCAGTAAACGCAAGCCAGTTTATTATACTTGTACTCTTAATCACAGTTCTCCATATTTAGTAAAATATCCTTTGGATTCAAATGGACACAGATATACTGTGTGTGTGGTGTGTGTGTGTGTGTGTACACATGTCTTTTTCTTACAGTCTGCTACATTCTGTGGTTTAGGAATGTAATGTAGAATTAAGTTTTTATGTAGTTACAGCCTATCGGAGAAGCTGTTCTGCTCTCATGGAGGTCTTATTTTTCTGTGGGATCACTTATAGTGATGTTCTGTGTTCCGTTGTTCTTTGGGGTCCCTATGGTGATTTTCATTTTCTTTTAACCATTTAGATCATTTCTAGCCCTGCAGATCCCTAACTTTGATTTGACATTATTACATTTTATCCAAAATTTTGCTCTCCATTTATTTGTGTTCAAAACACTGTCTGAAGTGTTTTGAAAATTAAATGCCACAGGAATTTTAAAATGTCAGGGACAAAGCCTGTAACTCTATAACTAATCTACTTAATAAAAGAAACTGAGAAGTGGTTGTTCTATGGTGACGGTCTCATATTTTTAATCCCCTCTTCTCCTGTCATATGAAGATCTTTTGATGAACTCAGACCAAAAATGTGTGGCACCTGAGGAATGCAGTGAAAGTAACAGTAATTTATTAGGTTGACACTTAGGTTTTTGCATGATCTTATCTGATCCTTGATTTTTCCCAGTACTTGTTCTGATTCCATACTCACCAAACTACTTTTTTATTTCTTGACTTGCCACGTAGATCCTCCCACAGGGAATAGACACCCTGCTCGAGTGCACTCCACTTACTTCTTCCTACGTTTGTGAATGTTGCAGCAGCTTACACCATCCTTTTCTTTTTTAAAGTGTACAGTTCAGTGGTTTTTAGTATACTCACAAAGTTGTGCAACTTGCCTAAACTTTTAAAATTTCTTGTAATTTTTTTATGCAGACATTCTTGGAATTCATGTCACAGTTTTATACCAACTAATTCCTAACCTTGGATGAATAACCACCACACAAGTATATTCATACAGTGAGCATTGCCCCAGTGATACTTTAGCTGTGACCAGTTCTTTTCAAATGTCCCATGGTAGGGTTGTTTAAATATCTACTTTGCAAAACACCATATTTATTTATTCACACTCTTTTCTGAACTCTTCCTAGTAAATGATCTTTATTTTCTCCTTCACAGGGAAACTGAGGTTTTGCTGTGGCAACTCCCTTAGTGTCCTTCCCTTTATTATCTAAATTAGTAAAAACAATACACATTCATCTTTCTATTTCAGACAGAGTAGATCCTTCTCTGAGAACTTGTTGCATTAGTTATCTTCAACTTACCCACTCCCTCCTTAGAATCCAGTTTCTCTTCCCTCCCCATAAACAAGCATGTCTAAGACTTTTTCTGCTTTCCCATGCTTTTCAGCTGTTGTTAGAAGTATTGCTTACTCTGCTTTTTTCTACTCCCTCAGCCTCCATTCATTCCTCCACCCATTAGAACCTGACTGAGATTTCTGCATTACCATTAGCAACCACCTAATTGCAAAATTTATGAAGTGACTGATCAGTAACAACTTCCTGAAATTCTTCCATCCTTTGGTTTCCTCTATTCACGTAGTTTCTTTCTTAAAACATAAATTTGATCTTATCACTTCCTTGCTTAAAGTTTTTAATGAGTTCCCATTGTTCTTTAAGTAAAATTCAAACTCCTGTTTACATAATATCAATACCACAAAAACAAGCAATCTTATTAAAAATGAGCAGAGAACCTGAAGAAACATTTATCCAAAGAAGACATACAGATGGCCAACAGGCACATGAAAAGATGTTCAACATCACTAATCATCAGGGAAATGCAGATCAAAACCAGAGGTAATACTTCACACTAGTCAGAATGGCTAGTATCAAAAAGACAAGTAACAAGTGTTGCCAAGGATGTGGAGAAAAGGGTACCATCATGCACTGTTGGTGGGAATGTGAATTGGTGCAGCCACTGTGGAAAATAGTATGGAGGTTGCTCAAAAAATTAAAACTACCATATGATCTAGTAATTCCACTATTGGGTATAAAAACAAAACCATTAATTTGAAAAGATATATGCACCCCTATGTTTGCTGTAGCATTATTTACAATAGCCAAGATATGGAGGCAACACAAAGTGAATGGATAAAAGAGGAAGTGGTGTGTATATGTACGTGTATATATTTAATATACATATACACAATGGAAGTTTAGCCATAAAAAAGGATGAGATCTTGCCATTTGCAACAACATGGATGGACCTAGAAGGCATTATGCTAAATAAACAACATGGATGGACCTAGAAGGCATTATGCTAGAGTTACAGGCTTTGTCCCTGACATTTTAAAATTCCTAAATGAAAAAGTCAGGAAGAAAAAGACAAATACCATGATTTCACTTATGTGGAATATAAAAAAAAACAAAGGAAGAAGCAAACAAAAGCTAGACTCTAAAATACAGAGAACAAATTGATGGGTTGCCAGAGGGGAGATGGGCAAAATAGATAAAGGGGATTAAGAGATTTAAATTTACAGTTATTAAATAATTTGGAAAGATGAAAAGTATAGCATGGGGAGTATAGTCAATAATGTAATAATGTATGGTGACAGTTGGTGACCACATATCATGGTGAGCATTGAATAATGTATAGAATTGTCAAATCAATATGTTGTGTATCTGAAACTATCATAGTGTATGTTAATTCTACTTCAATTTAAAAAAAAGCTTTGGTGAACCAATTTTTTAAAATTTTGTAACATATTTTTTTGTTTGTTTGTTTTAAGATTTTATTTATTTATTTGACAGAGAGAGACACAGCGAGAGAGGGAACACAAGCAGGGGGAGTGGGAGAGGGAGAAAAGCAGGCTTCCCGTTGAGCAGGGAGCCCAATGCAGGGCTCGATCCCAGGACCCTGGGATCATGACCTGAGCCGAAGGCAGACGTTTAACAACTGAGCCACCCAGGCGCCCCAGTTTTTGTAACATATTTGAATGTGAATGTTTCAAGCAAAAGTAGACTGAGTAATGTTCTCTGTGTACAAAAGAAACATTAAAGAGAAAGAAAGGGAAAAAACCTTAATCAGGGCCCAGTCTGCTTCAATTTTAATATCCCTCTGTCTACTACCCTTGATGCTTCAACTACAGTGGCCTTTTGTTTCTTGAATGAACCTTTTTGCTTCTGGGCTTGTCCATATGCTTTTTCTTCTGCCTAAAATGCCTCATCTGTCTTCCATACACAGCTAGCTACTTGTCCTTTGAACGTTAGCTTAAATGTTATACTTGACCACTATATCTAATGCTAGGGAAGGTTGTTTCTTTCATAAACCTTTCTACTGTTAAAAATGTTTGTTTCCTTTGTAGCATTTTCCACTATTTATGATAATGTTTATTTATTTAATGTCTATTTCGCGTACTTGATAGTAAGCCAGTGAGGGCAGGAACCATCTATTACTTATTTTGTTTACCAGTATATACCCTTGCCTGTCCTAGAGTAGGCATTCAAATAATTATTTGCTGAATGAATGAGCTTTTTTAACTAACCACTCCTGCCAACCCCTTAAGTTCCAAGGTTCCATCCTGTCTTTGTTTCTTGCCTTTGCTTTCAACATGCTTTCCAATATAATTCAGCTCTTCTCTTGGTTCCATCAAGCACTTGTATATTGATGTGTTCTAAATATGTGTACCGTACCTCTGACGTCAAAGTCCTAAGTTTCAAGTGTGTTTCTAGTTGCATGTGATATGCCCACCTGAATATCTTGTAGTTACTTTATATTTACTCTATATTTATGTATGAAATGTTAACAGTATTATGTAAATAATATCTACCTTGTCATCCAATTAGAACCTTAAACTTTACTCAAAACTAAACTCCTATGTTTCTACATTTTGGCTTTTTTTTCTGGACCATTAGTTACTGTCGTCATCTCAGTCCCTCCAGTCTTCAGTCCCGTTATCTTTCTATAAAACAAGTCATGTTTATGACCACACAAGGTTCAACCTACTTCTCTAGTGTCATTTGTACCTTCTCCCCAGGTAGCTGTCTCACACTTTAGCCTCCATGAACTTACTGGCTCCTGAATCAGCTGGAACAAGCCCTTGAGTCCATGCCTTTGCACATACTTATACTGGGCCTAGCGTACTGTTTTCCCACATTTCTTTTCACTTCACACTTGCTTATTACTTAAGACCTAAATCAGAAATTGTATGCAGCTTTCTACAGCCCCAGGAAGAAGTACTGCTTCCTCTGTACTCTTGTAGCATTGAGTCTTCTGTATGGCACTTTCTCTGTATGTTGGAAAGTTTCAATCTAGACTGAACCCTTGAGTAGTTAGAGACCTTGTCTGATCTCTCGGCCTGGCATTGGTGAACTCCCACTTTATATATAAATTAATAAATTTCAATGTTTAAAATTATAATACAGTTTTAGGAACCAGTACTACTGTGTTAATTAGCAAATTGTTATATTTTGGGAAGGAATGAGAACTCTTTTAAAATGTATTTTTCTCTTTCTGCTTTCCCCCTTTTTACAGATAAACCTGAAAATTGGGATGTATGGTATGAAAGCAAATTTGATGACTGTGATAAGGAGGCTTGCTTATCATTTTCAAAAGAAATTCTTTGTGCTCGTGCGACTGTGGACCACAATTACTATGCTGTTTGTCAGAACCTCTTATCCAGACATGCCACCTGGCGTGGCACTTCTGGAGGACTTCTTCATGACCCACCAAGTGAAATTGCCAAAGACGGCCGACTAGAGGCCTTGCTGGATGAGTGTGCCAACCCAAAGAAGCGCTATGGCAGATTCCAGGCTGCAAAAGAACTGCGTGAATACCTAGCACAATTAAGTAACAATGTGAGGTAGTCTATGGTGAATTTTTCTTTTCTCCATTTAAATAGCACTGGCTAAAACTAAACCACCAAAAACTATGTGGAAAAATGAAATTTGGAAGTAATACATTCAGAAGATAACTTGCACTGATAAATCTATGTTAACATCAAAATAAGACATTACTTCAAAAATCTTGTGATGCTTCTGCAAATAAGTTTGTTCTTACACTTTGGAGACTTGAGCTATCATCATTGACTGCTTTGCTCCCCCGAATGCCTGAGTGAATTAATGAATATTGTGAAGCTATTGGAAATGAGTCTGATAGTTACATTGGCTTGTGTATCAAAGGGTACTTGGTATTTGACTTAGTTTCCATTACTATCATGATTTTGTGAATCTCTTGCATTTACTTTGAATGTCAAGTTAGATTGGCCTGTTTTATAGGCCATTTTTTCCTTCTGATGTATAGGTGTTTTTTTCCACTCATTTTTATGTTTTTTTTTTAATTAAATTTTACACATTCAGGTTATTCTAGGTGTTTATTTAAATTTGGACTAGTTTTTGTTCAATGCTATGCGGTACACATTTATTGTTAGGGCAAGGTTCCCAGGTTTACTGTATTTTCAGAGAGCTGAATATTTTATCATGTAAATACTTTTCTCCCCACTTTCTGTGGTTTCACCATTGCATGAAATCATTCAAAGTTATTTAACAGTTACATCCCTCTATGCCTATAATTATAACTGTACACTAAACACAAAATTTGGCATATGTTGCAGAATGTCATCTTGTCCTTTTAAAGGCTTTAAGAAGAGTATACAAGGATTCTACACCTTTATGTTAATGTTGATTGAGAAAAAAAAAAACAACACAGTATTTTTTAAATGCTAACTAGTCCAAGATAGTAATGCATATGCCAAAGAAATGTTAGATCTAGTGTCATGGTTAGATTTTAAAATTGGTCACCTACGTATTCTTATTACCACACTTCCGGTACTCTAACTCTGTCATTATTACGTTCAGATCTTCCTGGTTATTTTATATTGCAAAGGTAAGCTGCTTCCAGGCATATGTGACTTAAAGATATCCTACCTTATATTCTTTGGTAGTTTTGGAGAAATTACCATGGTATAGTCATCATTTGAGTTTAATTGGGTCTCATAACTTTTTATTTATTGATGGACTAGTAATTTTTATTGAAAGCAGAGTTTAGCCAGTCTGCCCAACTTGGTCTTCATTACCCCATTGTCAAGCATCAAAACATCAAATTTAAGTATGTGGATAAAAATTAACAAATGTGTGAAATTTGTGGGCTATTTTTAAAAGTTACAATATATAAATTGACTATTGCTAACATAGGTGATAACTTCTTTTTTTTAATTACCGCTTTAGCATACGGCAAAGTTTGGTGTAGTGCGCAGTATTTAGTTCTAGACTGACCTTATTCTAAATCAGAAAGTGATTAAAATATGCACAACCAAAGCCAGGTTTTTCTTTTCTTTTTCTTTCATTCAGCAACTATTTATTGAGCATCAACTCTGTGCCAGGCACATTACTAGCTGCTATACACTGTATAAACGTGACATATGGTTAAGTAACTTTACAATGATTATCAAATACTTTAATGTAGGTATTAAGTTGAGATAGCATTGAGTTAGGATGGTACATTCATGTTATTTTACTGTTGTGATAGAAATTCTACTTGTACCATCTATAACTGGGTTGCTACAAAAAAGCATGATGAAATCAATAATGTTAACCCCAGTATAAAAACTGGGAGGAGAATGGTAAGGTCTCTCCATTATAAAATAGATTGCATTATGTTAGTTTTTATACATCCATGTATTACAGATATCAACTAGCCCTCAAAGAAACATTTAAGTGCTAGAAATTTTATTAAGCTGACTTTTTACAACTTCAGAAAACTTTTGAGGGTAGTAGGTAAAATTATTTGTCAAACATTCACCACTTAGAACTTCAAATTAAATACACATTTTCAAAACAGCCTTTTATATTTGATAAGTGTTCATTACAAACTTTAGAATGCCAGTCACAGAGGGTTGTCTTTATGTGGCTTAGCAAACATCTATCTTACTTTGGAAAAGTGATTGTTATTGCAGACCAGGAAGTGAGAAAACACTGCCAGCAGTGATTGCTACTGGAGGTAGTTGTTACAACTACCATTTCCCCCGTGAGATTATGTGGAATTTCTTTTATCTTTGGAAAAAGTTGAGAAGATAGTAAAAGAATTAGGAATTTTAAATTACAGGGAAAAATATGTATGTGAAAAGCAATAAATATTTTGTTCACTTTGCTATCAAGATATTCACTATCAGATATTTATTATACAGCAGCAATTTATATTTTTAATCATTGCCCATTAATAGACACAGTAAAATATTTTTGAATCAGACATTTGGGGTTTGTATGTGCATTAAAATTGTCTTTTGTACTGTAAGTTACTGTTTAATTTGAATATTTTATCAGAACTGTCTCCCTGTGCCTTTATAATATAAAGTTGTTTCTACAACTTTTAATGATCTTAATAAAGAATACTTTAAGAATCACACTTTTCAGACTGTCTCTTAACTTCAAATATCTAAAATTTTTTGAATGGAAAGTGAGGTTGTGTAGATAAGTTATTTTTTTTTCCTCTGGCATGTATTTTGATACCATTTTCAGAAACTATCTGGTTGGTTGTGTGCTAGATTTAAAGTTTGTGTGTTTTCTTTTGTTTTTTTGGGGGGGTTTTTTTTTTGGTAGGAAAGTTTTTTCTATAGTAGATAACTTGTACTGCTGATATGGGAGTTTTAAAAAAATTACGGAATTTTTCAAATGTATACAAGAGCATAGTATGATGAACAATAGTTAACTATGGTTATACTAACTTCAGAACTTAGCAACATGTGGCCTTATTTCATTTATGTCCCAATCTACTTGACCCCAGGTTATTTTGAGCAAATCTGAGAGATGTTATTTGATTCAGAGATACATATTTCTCTTCCAACAAAATCACAGTACCATTTCACATCTAAAAATTAACAGTAATACCTCAGTATCACCAAAGCAGGAAAGCTTTCAAATACCATTGTCTTTTCTCAAAAGCTCAATATCCAGCTGCAGGGGTTCTAAACTGCTGGCTATATACATGGAGTTAATTTGATGATCAATAAGGATAATAACTAACATGGACCAAAACATTGTAAATATGTAAATTATGCATTCAAAATGTTAATAGCAAACAGACAAACCGATTAGTCACCTTTGGAAGGATATTAGGGAATTACTCTGGAAACTGGTAACTTGGAGACAAAGAAGCATTCATCCTGCCTTTTTACCCCAGGGTAATCAAATAATTGCGTGGAAAAATTTATAAAATACGTAGAATTATTCCAGTTAATAAATGCAGAAGGAGTGTTAGAATATCACCTTTTCATAAATCCTAATGAAATGAGAGCTAGGCAGTGGTCATCAATCGCTACTGAAGCCATTAATTAAAAAGCTGATGAGGAACTTTGTATGGATAGATCAAGATGATGAGACTTGAACTCATTGGTCAATGTGCCTTATACTATGACTTGAAGAAAAGTATCCAGCACCACAAAAAAAGAAAAAAATTTTGATCAAGCCCCTAGATCTATTAATGGGAAATACATGACACAAGGAAACGTGTGGGCATGCAGTCAACAAAATCAGGAACATGGGCAATTCTACAGGATAAATGACTTATTTTAACAAATTGCGAAGAAAAGAAGGGGGACCTTTCACATTAAAAGAATCTTAACACAAAGAGTAAATGCAAATGTCACCTTTGTATCCTGATTTGAACAAACCAATTTTAAAACTGGAAACAGATTTGAACAACTAAATAAGGGTAACCTCGGGTTACCCTTGGGTAACCTCATTCACTAATTTTGCACTTGCTTTAATATGTGGAAAAACCATAAGAGTACTTAATTCTATACTGGGTATAGTTCATTCTATACAAATTTAGCCTCATGTCTAAATTTTCAGTAAGAATATTTTAGTTCTTTTTCTTTTGAAAAGTTATTTGCCCTCTGTCACAAAAAATAGGTAGTGGCCGACCTGGGCCTCAACAGTGGTTTTCTGATTGACTTTAACATTCTTTTTACTATACCATGTTGCAACTCTTGAGAACCAGAAGCATATAGTTGAAGGAAAGAATATATAACTGTAAAAAACATTCATATAAATTTTCTCAATTGTTATAAATTAGAGGACGGGAAGATTTAAGAGGTAGAGAAAACCTGAGTGAGATACAGACAAGGTAAAAAAGGAGAGGAAGTTAGGGTTAAGAGAGACCTGAGGAAAAAGGGGTTTGAAAACGAGAAAGAAAATCTCATAAAAGGGTAAGAAGATCTTTTTCCCTTTGACCTTAACGCTTTATTTAGGCTTCTCTTAGATCTGTATAGAGTTAGATTACTATTCCCATCATGAGTTTACTAATATCTTGTTTCTAGGGGTCTACCAGTCTTTTAAGTTTTGTTTACTTTCACCTTTTTTTTATCCCACAGATATTGTTGAAACTGTAAGCCATGTCCTATATCCTAAGTTCTAAGAATATGGACTCGTAAGAAAGTCCGCCTTGTAAAGTGACATTAAAAACTAAGCTCAACGGTTAGTCAGGCATGGTGTTTTGTTAATTTTAGCTTTCCTTTTCTATGTACATCTCACATGGTTAGGTAATTAAATCGTCTCTTGTATAGGCTATTTAGCTGAAGACAGGACTAACGAAAGCAACGGCCTTTCAGTATTTCATTTTAATTCTGAAACAGTCAATGGCCCTCCAGTGTCATTAAGTGGTCTCCCTAATTTCTTTTCTTTTTGTATTTAAAGACATTGTTATTGATTTTAGTTTCCTGTACTATTTCTTTATCCACTTCTTTAGCTACCTAAATTATTTCATTATACTTGCGTTATCCTAAGGACTTTTATGGAGGTTATCTTTCCATTTTTTGAATAATCAGTAATATTTGGTTGGTGGGGCGGGAGTGGTGAGGAAAACACACCCAGCCCAAATTATATATTTTCTGAGATTTGCTTTAAAAGGTGTGTTTTTAGCTGCCATCAGCAACTCTAAAAATCAACCTTTTAGAGTTTATTTTAAATCAATGCCTGTATTTTTTTTTTTTTTAAAGATTTTATTTATTTGACAGAGAGAGACACAGCAAGAGAGGGAACACAAGCAGGGGGCATGGGAGAGGGAGAAGCAAGCTTCCCGCAGAGCAGGGAGCCCGATGCGGGGCTCGATCCCAGGACCCTGGAATCACAACCTGAGCCAAAGGCAGACGCTTAACAGCTGAGCCACCCAGGTGCCCCAATGCCTGTATTTTTATAGTAATACCATGGGTTGAGTTTCTTTGATTTTATCACTATTACTGGGACACTAATATATATATATATAATTTTTTGTGGTCCTTTTATGTAATGATATTCAGACAATTTATTTTCAAATGTTTGGGAAAGGATAACGTAAGAATTGGATTATAAGCAGATTTTGGTCTTAATGGAACTAGTTAATGAGAATTGGTGCACTCTTAGATGAGATGAAGTTTTGAAGATCTATTACTCTTCTTAAAGGCACTTGCAGGGCACCTGGGTGACTCAGATGGTTGAGTGGCCAACTCTTGATTTCAGCTCAGGTTATGATCTCAGGGTCCTGGGATCCAGCCCCACATTGGGGTTTATGCTCAGCTGGAGTCTGCTTGTCCCTCTCCCTCCCCCTCTGCCCCTCCCCCCTCTCTCTCAAATAAGTAAAATCTTAAAAAAGTCACTCGTGGGGCACCTGGGTGGCTTAGTTGGTTAAGTGTCTGACTCTTGATTTCAGCTCAGGTCATGATCTCAGGATCATGAGATCAAGCCTCGTGACAGGCTCCATGCTGCACGTGGAGCCTGCTTGATCCTCTCTCTCTCTCTCTCTCTCTCTCTCTCTCTCCCCCTCTCCCTCAGGGCTGGGTGGTTCAGTCAGTTCCGTCAGCTGGGATTCTGCTTCTCCCTCTGACCACCCCCCCACCCTACCCCTGCTCATGCTCTCTCTCTCTCAAAAAAAAAAGTCACTTGATGTTGTTAAAGCCATAAATAGGAATCTCTAACACTCAAAAACACTCATCTCCCATGGAAAAATAATGTTTCTCTTAAGTCATTTGAGAAAAGGCAATTAAAAAGTGAGGAAAGATAGACATCTTTAAACCATCAAAAATGTATACTTAGATGTTTCTGAGAGGGAAAGTCTGAATCTCTTTTACCAGTAACCAGTTTTTACCTTAGACAAATTATTTAACATCTATGAGATAGTGTTCACATTAAAGAAACTCATAATTTCTTCTTTGACTCTATTACAAGTTTACTGGACAAATAGGGTTATGTATAGGAAAATACTTTATAGCTGCAAAGTACTGTGCAAGTGTATTGTGATAAACACTGATGGTTTGCCCAGAGAGAGAAGGAACTTCGTTCAAGAATTAAGTAATTGGCTTCTTGCTGTCAGTGCATGACCACCATGACTTTTACCTCCTTATAACTAGGATTAAACAGTTTTAGCAGGAGGAGAGGCTGCAGATATTTTTGGAAAACTTTTTGTGTTTAGGTGAAATTGCCAAAGATGTGATTCAGCATGATAACTGTAAGGGGTTCCAGTTTCTTGTGCTTCATAGGATAATAATTTATAATCAGCAGGCAAAAAATTCACAAACTTTTGGGGAGGGGGACTGTTAGTTCTCATTCTTGAAGCTTAATTTTGTCACCTGCTTTGAAATATCAAAAGTAAGGAAAAATGTCAGTTACCGTGATACTTTAGGTATGGCTACTTGTTTTCAGCTCATGGTTTTCGTTTAAATTTTTCTTTAGTTTATCTGATCAAAATTAAATGGAGCCAGTTTCTATAACTTAAGTGTTACCAAGAAATCTCAAAAAAGGAAACACAGTAGGGAGAGACATGGCAAAATATGCAAGCTTACTAATAATAATAAACCACTTCATCTCAACCCTCCTCATTGGAAGTTGACAGTCCCAGTAAAAATGATAGCGTCAGATAAGGTTTTCCTCTTGGCTTGGCAGAACATGAGTCTTAGGCAAGGATTTAGTGGAGAGACGGGATGCTGGGTGGCAAAGAGAAATTCCTGGAGAGATCCATTTTCTTTGCCCCCTCGCCTTTTGTGACATCTATAATTAAACAAACCATCCAAAAGGAGTACATGATTATATGCACATTAAAATCAGCCCCCTTCCCCTACCCCAAGCCCTTCTTTCCCTCAAATACGTAACTGCTGTTAATGCAGTTTGTGTTGGATTGCATTTAGGTAAGCACACATACAGATTATTTATATAATAGAGATCATGCTTACTATAAAATAGGGAGTATGTGAGTCTTCAGCTGTTTTTGTTTTTGTTTTGTTTTTCATGATTGGCCTCACCGCCTATCAGTCAAATGAATCTATTTCATTCTTATAAATTGAGATGGCAAAGATTTTCTTTAAAGATCAGATAATAAATATTTCAGATTTAGCAGGCTATGTAGTCTTGGTTGCAATTAGTAAATTCTGCCATTGTATAGCACAAAAGCAGCCATAGACAACACATAAATTCATAAGCATGGTTGTGTTTCAATAAAGCTCTATTTGCAAAAACAGGCCAAGTTTGGCCCATGGGTTGCAGTTGGCCAAACTGTTCTGAATTATGACATAGTATTTCTGCATTAAAATTGTCATACTTTGTTTTAACTATTTCTCTAGTTAATTATGTCCAGTGGTTCACTATTAAACACTACTGTAATGAATATCCTATACAAATAATCCTGTACATGTATGAGTACTTCTGTAGGAAGTGAAATTGACAGGTCAAAGATGTGTATATTTAAATGTAAATATAGCTTCTAAATTCTCCAAAGGCCTTTACCAGCAAATACTCCCCAAAATTACATGAAAATGGACTTCTTAACACCTGCCAACACTATTATTTTTTTTTTTTAATTTTTACCAATAATGGGCGCTTGGGTGGCTCAGTTGGGTAAGTGACTGCCTTCAGCTCAGATCATGATCCCGGGGTCCTGGGATCGAGTTCTGAGTAGGGCACCTCTTGCTCAGTGGGGAGTCTGCTTCTCCCTCTCCCACTCCCCTGGCTTGTGTTCCCTCTCTCGCTGTCTCTCTCTCTCTGTCAAATAAATAAAAATCTTTAAAAAAATAAAAATAATGAAAATAAAATTTTTACCAATATTATGTGCAAAAATATTATTTCCTGTTTTTATTTACAATTGCTTAATAATTCGCTGGTAAGGCTTGAGAGAACTAATAACACCCCTTTACCTTCCTGCCTGACTTAGAATAAATTAAAGGACAGATGCAGGAATCAAAACAGAGGATATCACCTATGCTGTTGATAAAGCTGTTGGACAGCTTGGCCTGTATCTGTGATAACAATAGTTTTCCGAATACTACATCCTAAAACTAATCTTCCCCACTTTTATCACAGGTAATGTTGGAAAATAACAGACCTGCCATTAGCAGTCTCTCCTTGGAAAACATACATGAAGAAACAGAATTTGTGATTCATAAGGCAATCATATCCCAAAAGGAAAGAGAGAAAGTGGCTGAACTGCACACGACCAGTTCCCTTTCCCAAACTTCCCAGTTAGATGGGTCACTGGGGAAGGGAGGAAGACAGATCAGGAGTGCCACTCTTAGGTGGTCCTTCCACCAAGAAACGTGAGTAGGAAAGTCAGTGTCTTCCCCCAACACTCCAGCTCCAGTCTGACTGAGGCTGACCATCTCTCCAATAAATGAGATGGTCCTTCAGTTTTTTGTAAACTGCTTATTCTTATCCCCTACCCATTTTTTTAAAAGATTTTATTTATTTATTTGACGGAGAGAGAATGAGAGAGAGCACATGAGAGGGGGGAGGGTCAGAGGGAGAAGCAGTCTCCTTGCTGAGCAGGGAGCCCGATGCGGGACTCGATCCCAGGACTCCAGGATCATGACCTGAGCGAAGGCAGTCGCTTAACCAACTGAGCCACCCAGGCGCCCTATCCCCTACCCATTTTTAAAAGCTGATTTGTTCACATTTTTCTACAGCTTTCTAGGAGTGCTTCCCTCTTATTAAAGATATTAGTCTTTGGTTATTTCCTGAAATTCCTGTATTTATTAAAATCTAAGATGCCATTGCTTATAAGATACCATTATTTTATTATTCCTATTATTATATTATTCCTAAGGGGAGGGAGGTTAAAAAAAAAAACAGTGTTAAGTAATTTAGAATTTATATTAATTGAAATAGCTTGCTTAGACTTTTTTTGGTATGCATACTAAAAGGGAAAATAGAAGCAAAATAGACTGGCTAAGGTATTCACAAAACATTTTCTATTCAGAGTTCACCCACTCTCTTAAGTCAGTTTTTCTGTTCAGAGCCCTTGCTGTTCATGGTTTTCCACACTGTATATCATCCTCTGCGCCATCAAATACGTTGGTGCAGCCATGTTCCTCAAAGCCATATTTCTTCATTACTGTCTTTAGAATTTTTTTTCAAGCCATACCATCAATTCTGTAAGTTTCAATGCTGGCACTTTCTTGAGCTTATCAGTAGATGTAATAAGGTTTCAGATAAAAACAAGACAGAACAAAAAAACACGACTCATATTTTCCTCCTGAAATGGTTCTTGAATAGGGTGTTGAGAGAAGTGTTAAGGGGTTGCACCTTTCAATAATAATGTAAATGACAACCAATTTGGAACATGTGCAGGCAATGGCTCTACTTCACAACTACTGCCTGGCAGGCAGCAAATGTAAGACACCACTCGTTGTACAACAATGTTGATTGGCGGTACGTTAAAATTCGAAGAAATGTTTGTTATAATTGGTGATTTAGAGTGCTTTTTTCCTGTTGTTTTTCTTCCTTTTCATGTTTTGTGGTAAAATACATACAACAAAATTTGTCATTTCACTTTTTTTTTTTAGGATTGTATTTTTTATTTGAGAGAAAGCAAGGGAGCAAGCACTGCCAGGGTGGAGGAGGGGCAGAGGAAGTAGGAGTAGACTCCTGCTGAGCAGGAAGCCAGATGCTGGGCTGCATCCCAGGAACCCCTCCACCCCCACCCCAATCATGACCTGAGCTGATGCTTTACCCAGCCTCCCTCATTTCACTATTTTTAAGTGTACAATTCAGTGGTATTAATTACATTCATAGTGTTGTGCAAATATCACCACCATCATTTCCAAAATGTTTCATTACCCCAAGCAAAACTGTACCCATTTCCTCTTTTCCCAGGCCCTGGTATTTTCTTTTCTTTTTTTTTTTTTTTGGCCCTGGTATTTTCTAATCTCTAAAAAGCATCTTTGAATTTCTCATTTGATTCTAATTTCTTCTTGTGATGCATGCTTAAGTACAGATTTTTCAGTTTTGATTGTGAGAAAATGATTTGTTCACCCTTAACTGAATTTATAAAACTAAATTCTAAATTTTAAGTATGCTGTTACCATCTCTAACATCTAGAGGAATCTTGGCAATCATGGGGAAAAATGTTAAGTTCTCTAGATCTTTAGCAATACTTCTGTTATTCTGACATGCTGTCCAGGATGTCAAAAACATATCTAGGCTATTTGGTCCTTAAAGAAACATTTATTTATGTCATAACTTTGCATGAAGAAACCTTTTAAGAAAACAGTTCAATAGTTTGGATCCCACTTGAAATTCCCAGCAATTCTTTCTCCATAAGAGTTTTTACTAAACTAGCATTCAACTTTTTTAACAAGAAACATTTACTTACTGCTTTTTTTTTTGTGCATTCTATAGGGATGAAAAGAGTGATTTTTTTTTTTAACCATGAATTCAAGCCATGAGTTTTTTATTTATCCTTCATGTATGGTTTTAATAAAAAATTCTAAATCTGTATATTGACAACTGTAAAAAGTACTGTTCATATTTGTTTTGTTTTTCCCTTTTAAGATATTCTTAAGTCACATGTCAGGAAATGACCCATCAGATGAGATTAGCTTTTGAGTTTACATGCCACCTCAGGTTATATTTAGTGCTATTGGCAAAAAATTTTATGGGTCTGCAAATCTTTCAACTTTGTTCAAGTTTTTGGCAAGATATTTCAGTGTGTGTGATATGTTTCCTTTTGGCAAGTTTCTGACAACTTGATGCTTTAAAAAATATATGTCTGGGGCGCCTGGGTGGCTCAGTTGGTTAAGCGACTGCCTTCGGCTCAGGTCATGATCCTGGAGTCCCAGGATCGAGTCCCGCATCGGGCTCCCTGCTCGGCAGGGAGTCTGCTTCTCCCTCTGACCCTCCCCCCCTCATGCTCTCTCTATTTCATTCTCTCTCTCAAATAAATAAATAAAATCTTTAAAAAAAAAAATATATATATATATGTCTGTGATGTGATCTTCAATACTTGCCTTACACCATTTTATTTTTTGACACTAAAAAGTTAGTTTGTAACAGGCCTTGAGCCGAACAAAATATACGCTCATACGTGTTGCCACACTTTGAGAGGTTGTCCTTTCTTTGGAGGGCATTTCTATTTGTGGATGAATGTACCCAGAGTTACATAAATGAGATACTAGATAAAGAAGAAGAGTTGTGGCCACAGGAACTTATCCTTCATCTATTCATCTCCTGTCTCCAACAAGACCAAGAAGAAATTCTCTAACAGTTTTTAAACTGTTTCCAAATAAGAGACTATTGAAAAATCATTCTTAAAGGAGGGAAAAGCCAAATCTGGTAAAGTAAGACACATTCATTAATATTTTTCTATTTTCATCTGAAGTCTTTAGGAAAGCAACTTCATTTTTACCACTTTAAAGAGAGTTAAAATTATATCACTTTGGACTATCTTATCACAGTTAATCATTCATCCATTAGTTTACTCTAAGTTAAAAGTTTGGGGAAATTCTGCATTTCCCCCTTATTCCTCTGAGCAGCTGCCTTGTAAATAAATGGGCATGCCTGGTCAGTAGAGGGGTTGGCTGAAGGAAAGAGAGGGTTTAGGACATTTCTTTGATCTCTACTCAGAAACAAAAAATTCCAGTTGTGTGCTTTACTCAGCAAGATGCAAGGAGGTGGTCCTTGACAAGTCTCCAATGTGATTTCCATATGGACTCTAAGGTCTTAAAACAATTCTTTCTAATCTTCTGTCTTATAATGTTTCAGATTTAAATTCCATCTGCACTCACCTTTTAGCTCCTCTGCTGCCACTCTAGAGCTGAGTCACCATGAATAATCTCTCTTCGTCTTTGAGGCTGGGTCAAGCCTAGAGAATAACATGGGAAAATGCCTCATCCTTACAGTTGAATTTGCTCTATGGGTTTCAGAATAGATGTTCTTTGCTGAGAGTTACTACAATGTCTACCTAAATGTCTTCATCTTAGACAATCGTGCGACAAGATCAGGATGGCTGCAACCTCAAGGCAAAGGCTGTGTTTACTTCTGTTAAACATGATTTGCCAGAGAAGATTTAAATGCTGCTGTTTTGCTATGATAAAACTAGTGGTGCCTATGGATAGATTTAAAGATATACATTCTCAGAATACATTTAAGCATTTTAAGGATATTTTATCCCATTCTTTAAAAAGGTCCAGTTTGTTAAATAATTCAGAGTATTAAATTTTAAGATCGAGGGAATTCACTAAGTTTTAAAGAAAGGAGATATGATTTAGATGCCAGGATACTCATGATTGAGGCATCTCTTTACCACTAGTGGGCTGAATAATCATGGGAAAATCACTTTGTTTATTTGGTTTTCAACTTTCTCTTCTTAAAAGGAAATAGGATGAAATAATTCCTAAGGACATTTTCAGCTGCAGCTTCCTGTAGTTTCAAGTTGATATAAATTTATTGTGGTCTTTAGAATACACTTAAACACAATCTTTTAAGAAGTCTCAAAAATTGATGTTCTAACACAATAACTATGTTCTAAAATAATAAATACTATGCCATTGGATAAGTCATAATGAACAAGTTACTGAAAAGTTGTTAAATATTATTCTTTTAATAAATATCTAAACCTTTAAGGAACTGGAAATCTGTCATCATGATGGGAGGTGACCATTTATAACTATAGTGTGAAGCAAGATGACTTGATTAAAAGCTTACTGGAGGATTAGATATGTTCTGGAAGCTGTGGTGGGTCATAGCACACTTTGTGTGAGAAACATGCTGATGCAGACAGTAATACCAAGGGATAAAGTTCTTCTTAGACCCATTTTTCCATACTTTTCTGCAAGGGATTTTAGTACCTAAATGAAACATATTTGCTTTCATACACATTTGTGTATGTGTGTGGTGTTGAGGGGAGTTGATGGAGATGAATGTGGAGGATGACCATGCTTTTAGGTAAGTGCTATTCTCTAGAATTTGGTAAATCCTTTTTATTTATAGGAACTATTTTTAAAGCATTATAAAATTGTGTTTCCTTTGCACATTATTCTGTCTCTAAGTAGTTATGCATTCTATTAGATCCTAAACACACTAAGATTCTCATCAAATTTCTCTCAAATATTTGTAAAATAAAATTATTCTCACATTTGAAACAGAACATGAATGTTTTCCTGTGGAAAAGATTCACTGAATATGACTATGCCCCTTCCTTGGTTTATTTTTCTCCATGGCACTTTTTATCCTCTATGTACTATGTATTTTAGTTGTTCATTTTTTTATTGCCACTTGCAAAATGGCTGCCAGGAACTCAGCTCAGTGTGTCAGGGGGGCATTTTTGAAAGAGAATAAGGTAAATGACTAATGAGCTGGTCTAATATTTTGAAAATTGGCAATCCCATTATATATATATATATATATAATTATTACTAGATATATATATATATATTACTAGATTATCCTATTACACACCCATTGTGAACTTCAAACACCAAAATATGAATATATCACATCTTTACTGTCTTTCTTTATACACTTGAAATTGGAGTTTCCATGAGATATCACTTGTTTAAATGAGATTTATTTTTTGAATTAAGAATATGATATTGGCATAATTAAGTCAAATGTAGATGGATTGCTGAAATCATCTTAGAAATGGTAAGAAATGGTTAGAAAAGGATCATTCATTCATATTAAGATGGAAACTGACTTAAAAGTCTGAATCTTTTCAACAATTGTTTGTTTTCAATAACTTTTTCTTCTATTGAAATTGTTCCTTATAAGCAGGAATGATAATGGCTACCATAAAAAGAGAATTTGTGTCCTCAGGAGACCTTGTCCTTACCAGGAACAGATTCTAACTTATTTCTTTGTGAAATCGTTTCTAGTGCCTCTTTTCCTGCAAAGTTTTAGCATCAACTCCTGATTTTGCTTTCATATGTATTTGTACATGAGATCAAAAATGATACAGTCTATAATACCTACCAAAAACACTGAACTAAAATAACAAGTGGGAAGGAAAATGTGACATTTCTTTTACACTTTATTACTGATCAAAGAATAGAGTATGGGTATTTTGCTCCAATAGAACTCAGAAACTTTCAATGATATGAAGGCAATATTATAGGAAGGCTTGTTAAAATATTTATAGGGGGAAAATAAGATTCTACTAATCAAGGTGAACATTAAGAAAAACATGCAAACATGACAGGACCAGGAAAATGAACACATTATATTATTATCAAAGGGCACAGCCATCAGATGAAAAATATGTTATAAATAGCAGCTGGGCAATTTGAAGGCTAGATACTTTCAGTATTATATTTGGAAAAGAGCACAAACCACCAGCCTTTAAAAAATAGCAGACTGTCTAGTGAAACTTCTCTACCATCAGGAAGAAAGTACATGGGAAAGCTGACCAAATGTGGTCACTCATCATTATATTAAATCACTGAGGGGGCGCCTGGGTGGCTCAGTCGGTTAAGCAGCTGCCTTCGGCTCAGGTCATGATCCCAGAGTCCTGGGATCAAGCCCCACGTTGGGCTCCCTGCTCAGTGGAGAGCCTGCTTCTCCCTCTCCCTCTGCCTGCCTCTCTGCCTACTTGTGCTCTCTCTCTCTGTCAAATAAATAAAATCTTAAAAAAAAAAAAATCATTGAGTACATAGCTCAGAACAGACATTAAAGAGAAATACATGGTAGAGGGAGAAGTGGAGAGAGTGCTATGGTTAATATTCTTTGATTTTAAGTAACAGAGAGTAACTCAAGCTAGCATATGTGAAATATATATTATATTATATATTATATTAATATATATAAGTGTCGCATACTCCAACTACATGAATGTGGCCAGGCTTTAGGAAGGGAGTGAATCCAGGGACTGGAAAACATCAGTTTCTCCCCATTTCTTCTCTCTACTTCTTTCTGTAAGTGTGCTTTGAGCACAGGTCTAACTCCTGGCTGGGAAGACACACAAAGATCATTTCTACATAGACTTGAAAGATAAAGTTAATGTGGTGGACGGAGTGTTGGTTGTTAGCAGAAGGTTGGACCTGGGATGTGACTCTTCTGATAGAAATGGGAATCCTTAGGGCTTTCACTCAACATGGGAGGAGTTTGGGGGTAGAACAGGTGTGTCATAGTAGCGCAGGGCAGAAAGTCAGTGTTCATAAGACCTAATGTCCAGGAGATAAAGGCTCCAGAAAAGGACTAGCAGCTTTGCTCAGGTCTTATAAGGCCTTACGTTGCCCTTCCTACCATTTTAATTGGGAGAATGCTTTTATCTGGGATCCTTGTGTGGCTTGCATTCCATCTTAGTCCAAATGTCACCACCCAGAGAGGTCTACCCTAACCACTCTATTTAAAGAAACCTCCACACCACATTCAAAGTACTCTTACAATTACCTTGTTTTATCTCCTTTAAGAGCTTATTTTTATGAGATTATCTTATTTCTATACTAATCTATTGTCTGTTCTCACCTTCTGCTTTTTGTGACATCATAGGCCTTTTCTGACTTGTTCTCCTTTGTGTCTCTATCATCTAGCACAATGCCAAGCACATAACAGGTGCACAATAAACATCTGTTGGATAAATGACTGGGAACATAGATTGCTACTATAGAATTGGAGCTAAGAACAGTATGTGGCACTAGGTGCTAGGAGATTATATAGTACTTTGATGTTCCGTAGCAGAAGGAAGGTCTTTTTAGTCCTATCAGAGGCAGGATCTGCCTTCCCATGTTATTGGGGGCCTTACAGTACTTATTATACCTATGCTTCAGGGTGAGGTTGGAAAATCAAGACTTACCAGCTGGCTTGAGATCCAACCTTAGTACGAGACAGGGGATTATGTGTTCAAAGTGTAAAGTGGTCTGGGGCACATCGGATGCCTCTACGCTCTGTGAGGAAGTGTTCAGCCATCACTTACAGGTTATTGTTTCATGGCTATTGCCAATCACCCCGATTCAACTGAAGACAAATAGAATTTTTGAGAAAGGAAGAAGTGACTATAGCTATTTACCAAACTGGGTTTCTAATAGAGATTTTTTATTTTTTGGTTAATGAAGCAAGAATTTATTTTAAATCATCACTATGCATTTGGAAGACTTGAATTCGATTTTATGAAAAGGTAGGATATCTGCAGTTAAGCCTGAATATTAGTGTTAGGACCTCATGGTTTTCTCATAAAGTTTATCAAGGTCTTTGGTTCTTTATAGGAATCAAACAAGGTGATATAAGTATATGGTTTTCTTTCTTTTCTCTTCCTTTTTGGCTGTCTTTCTGAGGAAAGAATTTCATGAGGATATAAGACATACGTCCACTTAAACAGGATGAGTTTCTCTGAAAAAGAAGTTGGGGTAATGTTTGGAAGAAGGCAAAGAAGCTGATCAGTCACAAGCATTAACTTTTTCACTAGAACTTCAACTCGAATGGCATATTTTGATAACACTGCATTAAAAATGTGGCCTTTATTATACCCTGAAAATCATTTTTTTTTTCTGCAATGGTCATTTCTTTTTTTTTTTAATACTTTATTTATTTATTTATTTATTTATTTATTTATTTATTTATTTATTTATTTATTTTAGAGAGGGAGAGAGCATGCAAGCAGGGGAGGAGCAGAGGAGAAGGGAGAGGGAGGGAGAAAGAATCTCAAACAGACTCTGCACAGAGCATGGAGCTGGACAAGGGGCTCAATCTTAGGATCCTGAGATCATGACCTGAGCAGAAACCAAGAATTAAACACTTAACTGACTGAGCTACCCAGGCACCCCAGCCATAGTCACATCCTTAATTGTTTTGCTCTAAGAACAAATTTGCTTTTGAACAGCCTGGAAACATTGCACTCTAAATGGCGAGTTTCAGCAATCTCAGACCCAAACAAATGAGTCTACCTTTAGTAACTTGTGGTTTTCACCACAGTTTCTTCTCCCTGTATTATGAGTCTACTATTTATACTCTATTCTGGGGGAAATTAAAATTAAATAATGTAATTAAGAGTTGCTTATTCTATTATCATAGAATCCAAGCCAGCATGGGGATGGGGCCTTGCTTTTTTCTGTGGTGTTTGGCCAGAGTATTTGGTATTGTCTAAGTGTCTACCTTGTTCCTTTCCTGGGCCTTTGGGTAGAGAGAGCAGGCTTTTTATTGTCTGCATCCATTGGCATTTCTGGATCACTTGCTTCTTCAGCTCCAAGTCTGGGCTATATGAGGCAAAAAGAAAATCCACAGAACCCACCACTTTGTCATTCCTCCGGTTCCAAGTTCACCAGCCAGTCTGCCTTTTTCTCTCATCCCTCAGAGTCTTCTTATGTTTGTTTTGTATACAATGTTCAGAGTCTTTAGTTGTACTTCAAGGGAGAAATAGCGAAAAGTACATTAGCTCTATTTTCTTAGTAGCAAAAGTCTGGACAACTGATAGTTGACCGATTGCAAAGGTGATCCCGTGGAGAAAGAAGAGTCTTTTCAACAAATGTTACTGGAACAGTTAGAAATCACATGCAAAAAAAACGGACTTGATTCATAACCATGCAATATAATAAAATTAACTTGAAATGGAGTTTTAAGTGTAAACCTTAAAACTATAAAACTTCTAGAGGAATGCTTAGGAAAAAATCTTTGTGGTTTTAGGTTAAGGAAAGAGCTCATAGATACAATAGTCTCCCCTTATCTGTGGTTTTGTTTCCGAGGTTTCAGTTACTTACTGTCAACCATGGTCCAGAAGCAGATGTTCCTCCTTCTGATACATCATCAGAAGGTCAGTAGTAGCCTAACCCTAGGTCACAATACGTACATCATTCACCTCACTTTATCTCATCACTCCGGCATTTTATCATCTCACATCATAATGAGAAGAAGGGCAAATACAGCACAATAAGTTATTTTGAGAGAGAGACTGCATTCACATAACTTTTGTTACAGTATATTGTTATAATTGTTCTTCTTTATTATTGTTGTTGTTAATCTATTACTGTGCCTAATTTAAATATTAAACTTTATCATAAGTTTATACGCATAGGAAAAAACATGGTATAGATAGGGTTTGACACTATCCCGGTTTCAGGGATCCACTGGGGGTCTTGGCACGTATCCACCGCAGATAAGGGAAGACTACTGTACATCCCCAAAAGTGCAATCCATAAAAGAGCAGACTGATAAATTGCACTTCACCGAACGCAAACCTTTTTACTCTTCAGAAGTCACTGTCAAGAAAGTGAGAAGATGAGCCATAGGCTTGGGGAAAATATTTGCACAGCACACATCTGATAAAGGACTTACATCCAGAATATATAAATGTTCTCAATACTTCCTAAGAAAACAAGCAACTCAATTTAAAAATGGGCAAAGGAGTTGAAAATACAATTCACCAAGTAATAAAATCTAACCACACTGGGTCCTCATCCCTACATGGCAACGACTGTCTGGAACTGAATAGCAGTTCCCACCTTAGATTAGGCATGAATTTTCCAGTTTTCTTCAGTCCCTACTTGGTCCCTTCCTGGTCCTTGCAGGAATGTGAATTACCTGACTGCTCTCTGTTCCAAGTCCAAAAGGAGAAATAAAGCTATTTCCATTTGCCAGGCTACTTCTGTCATTGTCAAGCTTATGTTTCACATTCTTTAGAGCAGAGTCAGTTCTCTCCCCCATAATTCTTGCCGACTTCCCCAGACTCAACTTTCACACTGGATCCCTCTTGGTTGCCTTGCGTAGCTACACAGTCTCTACAGTGACGTTGAAATTATTGGTTGTAAGGGCTTGATTAAATACTTCTTTTCCTATAAACCATTTTTATCTCTATCTCTAACAGTTATAATAAGAAGAATGATCTAAAATAACATGACCTCTACATATAAAAATTTGTATTAAACATAACTCATCAGTTCAAATGGATTTGAAATCCTAAAATTGTACTGAAAATGGAATTTATCCTATGTGTCCTTGTTTTAACATGATTGTCTTGGCCCCTATTGGGCATTAAGCCCTCAGTGGAATTTATGATATGGAATTAATTATTTTGCTCTCTGCAGACATCACACCCTTCACCTGCCGCCTAAGAGCACAGGATCTAAGGCCTCTGAAGGTAAGGTTCTTGTGTTTGTTTATACAGCCTTCTTCTCTTACTTTATATGTTTACTCTAAAATATGCACCAACAATGGATGGTATATGAATACATAATTCCTGGAAAATAATTCCTCTTTGTCATTTCCATTTGGCATTGAGACTTTCATTTCTATCAATTGAAAAACAGTGAAAATTAATCTAAAGTAATCTGATATTCTTCAAACTGAATTTTTATAATATCAGGATATGTAAGCTCTCTCATAAATTATTAACTGCTAATCTGTATTTCTATAACATTTTCATTATATTTAGAGAATTCTTTACATCCCTGGGAAACTCCGCTTCAAGGACAAGCCTGCAGTATATCTTCTAAAGGATTTGTTGGGGCTGGAAGTGACTGAAAATTGTTGAAAACTTATGTCTACATAAAAGCCTGCACATGGATGTTTATAGCAACTTTATCCATATTTGCCAAAACTTGGAATTGACCAGGATGTCTTTCAGTAGGTGAATGGATAAATAGACTGTGATACATCCAAGCAATGGAATATTATTTAGTTCTAAAAAGAAATGAGCTATCAAGCAATGAAAAGACACTGAGGAAACTAAAAAGCATATTGCTAAGTGAAAGAAGACAATCTGAAGAGGCTACATACTATATGATTCCAGCAATCTGACATTCTGGAAAAGGCAAAACTATGGAGACAGTAAAACCATCAGTGGTTGCCAGAAGTAGGGCGGCAGCAGGCAGAGCACAGAGGATTTTTAGGGCAGTGAAGCTATTCTGTATGATACTACAATACTGGGTACTTGTATTACCCATGGGTCTAAACTCATAGAGTGTACAACACCAAGAGTGAATCGATTGCAACAATTATACCACTCTGGTTGGGGGAACTGATGGTTGGGGAGGCTATGCATGTGGGGTGCAAAGGATATATGGGAACTCTGTACTTTTTGTTCAGCTTTTGCTCAGTTTTGCTCTGAATCTAAAATTGCCCTAAAAATAAAGTCAATTAATTTAAAAGGAATGTTGGGGGGCCTTTGGAACTGAGAAGCCATTTGACACATTGGAAATAACATGGCCCTTGAATCAGAAAAGCATTATTTGAATCTTTACCGATCATTTTCCCGATAACTTTGTGAGATTTAACTTCTCTGTGCCTCGGTTTTCTCAGGAGTAAGTTAAATGAATAATATTTATGTTGCAGGATTGATATGAGGAGTAACTGAGGTACCTTCCTACTGGGGCCAAGGGATTTGTCCTTTGTCCCTGTTGCAAAATGAGGCATGCACGTTAGGGGTATGCTCCCAGAGCCTGGAGGCCCTTGGAAGGCAATAGATGAAACTACACCCTTTTCAGAGGTAGTATATAGGAGACAGAGGAAAGAGTAAATACAACTAGTCTCAAGGATATTGTGTCTTAAAATTTTACCTTTTACTCTAGCAGTGATAATGTGAGATCTCCTTAGATAAACTGGTGCTATTTTTAAAATACCACACATACCGCCATCCCTGAAAAAGAATTTGAAATGATACTCAGAAAATTTTTTATTTCTTGATAAGTTTTCCCTCCAAATATCATTTGAATAATATTTCCAAAAATAGAAGAAAGAAAAATACATACATGAAAGAATTACTTGGAAGAAGTAGCCCCACTATATTGGATCCTAATCACTAATCTTACTGAGAAATTAAACTTGCAATTAGACATATAAATGGAGAGCAGTGACAGGCAAAGTATCTTGAGAAATATGAAAAGAGAAAAATTAAGGCAGTTGGAAGGAACGGATAACCAGAAGAACTGTCAAGTGGCTTCTTTTCCATTTTCTCCTTTACCCCACACCAAAAGTCCCTTAATGGCCGGTGGCAGACCAACAAGCTCTGCCACAGCATCCATTTCTTCCTTTTTCTCTTCTAACAGTTCCCCTCATTTTTGTTGTTATTATATCCCTTTTGCCATTTCCAACCCATGGGCTTCGGGTAAAAAGTCCTTTTTCCCAGTTCGAGAGATTAGTGTCATTAAGATACTCCCCCTCCTTTGCCAGTGGTCGCTTCAGAAACGGGCATGTAAGGTGACAGTTTGTGCCAGGGAGGTGTGAGGAATATTTTGCTGAGGGTTTCGAGGAAAGACATTTCCTTGCTCTTAAAAAAGAGCCAGTCTCTCGTTCTCTGGTCATCCTGGAGATGCAGATAAAACACTCAGAACTGCCACAGCTCTTTTTCTGTTGTGCAGGAGCTAATCTGAGGATGAAATTAATTTCATCCAGTGGAGGACTCGGGTGGGGGGAATTATGGAGAAAAAGGACTGGAGCTATTGGCTTGTTTCAAAAATACTATGCCTTCCCTGGAATTCTAGGGATGTGAGACAATACATACCTTTATCTGAACTAGCTTAAATTAGTTTTTTATTTGCAGCTGAAAGCATTCTAGCCAATATCAGCCAACTAATGTACTATTAAAAATGGTTATTTCTGAGAGTTGGTTTTTATTAACACGTGCACGAAAAAGTTAACAAAGATCTGGTAAGACCTTTAGATCATGGCACAGGATAAAGAAAATCAGTAATTTGATACCATGGGGAAGAATACCAAAAAGGCAGTCGACTTGCCTGTCTGCAGCTACTGCCACTCATTTTTTGAATGAATGATTAAGCTGTTACCTTAATGTCTTTTCAATTCACTTTTTTTTTGACAGTTTTGTAAATTGTTATGTGATCTCATACTTATCTGGGTTAGAGACTTAGCAGAAACACCATGAATAACTATGTAAGAGAGTTGGAATAAACTCAATGGGACTTCATCATATTGTGGATAATGGGAGCTGAGTAATATTGACAGTTATAACAAAGATGATGGCAGGGAATTTTTTATAAGTGGGTTTAATGCAACATTGAATCTAAATGCAATAACATTTTAAGACTAGGTTTGATAACAGGTATTTTTAAAAGGTTGGAATGTGTTATCAAACTGTGGAGATTGACTCACACTGATACTTTCCATGATATGAAAACAGTCTGCCTTGATTTTTCAACATACAAGTAATTTCCAACATAGAAAAGGACAACACACACTCGCTAGATATCCTGAATTGACTCTCAGGTACTTTGAATTTTACTTGTCAACCTTCTTAACGAGAATGGGATTAGACTGTCATTGATGTAGAATATACATAATAGGTCATTCATGATGAAAGTAAATGTGTATTTGTTGAATGAATGAATGAATGTAAGTTATTTTCACTTTCGTTTCAATGACCACTTAAGCTATTGGCCTACATAAGGAATTCTATACCGTTAAGATGCTGGATTCTATAAGCTACTCATGAAACTCTTCATCTTACTTTATTGTCAGATTTCACTGTACACATTGGGTCCAGGTTCATCTTTCCAGATGCTTACAGAGTATTTTCACATGCATGTTCCACTATCAGCTCAAACTCAGATATTCCAAATCAAGCCTCCCTCTCATCTGGAATTTTCCCCATCATCTACTCTCTTTTCATTTGGGGCATACCTTTCTCCTGGTTGCTAAGGGATGGAGCATTCACTTTCTTCCTCTCCATTATCCCTCTTATTTAATTAGCCATGGAGTCCTGTTTACTCTTCTTTACAGTATCTCTTGCTTCTTAGTACCATGGAGACAAAACCTCAACTGACTCATTGTTATGTCACTCTTTTCCCAGATTTTATTTACTCCCAGTTCAAACCACACCACACACTTTTGCCAGATTTATCTGTCTAAAACATTGCTTTCATGTAGCTTTCTTTGGCTTGAGAACTCACAGTAACTGTATATTGCTTGACGTTTCAAATCCAATTGAACGTGACTGTCATTCCAGGTCTTTTGCCATTGGTCTAATATTACTTATAAAAATTGTTTTTTAGATCTCCTCAGACTATACTCTCTGTTATAGATTGGTTTCTGGCTGTCCTAAGCACATTTCCCAATGCCACGCCTTTGCTTAAATTGTCTCTGCCAGAGATGCCCATTTTCAAATCCTTCTCCAACTCAATCCCTTTCCTTGTTTTCTTACCTTCACCCTGATTCTCAATCCAAGTATCCATGCCATGCTTTCCTCCAGGTTCAGCTAAGTCCTATCTCTGTTTGTATTTTTCACTATCTTACTTCACAGTTCTTTCTTTCTTTCTTTTTTTTTTTTAAAGATTTTATTTATTTATTTGACAGAGAGAGACACAGCGAGAGAGGGAACACAAGCAGGGGGAGTGGGAGAGGGAGAAGCAGGCTTCCCGCGGAGCAGGGAGCCAATGTGGGGCTTGATCCCAGGACCCTGGGATCATGACCTGAGCCGAAGGCAGACGCTTAACCGACTGGGCCACCCAGGCGCCCCACAGTTATTTCTTTCTAAAGAAGAATTTCCCCAGGGTAAATTGCTTTCAGTTGTGGAAAGTTAAGCAACTGGATGTCAGTATTATGCAACTTTGAAGGGAATGAATGACCTTTTGGTCACATCTAAGTGAGGAGCACTGAGATCATGATCCTAGTCATAATGTAGCCTGGCGGTTATTTGCTAACTGTGGTCTTCCTTGTCATGGCTTCCCCAGTAGGAATTTCACTAATGGAAAATGATAATTAAATGTTGACTTAAATAATTCTTTCTTTTTTTCCCCTAATGGTATTTTCTTGTTTCTTTTTTTAGTTTTTATTTTAATCACCCAGTGGTCATCACAGCAAGTGCACTCCTTAATCCCCATCACCTATTTCACTAATCCCCCACCCCCAACCCCTCTGGGAACCATCAGTCTGTTCTCTATAGTTAACAATCTGTTTCTTGATTTGCCTCTCTCTCTCTTTTCATTTGTTTGTTTCTTAAATTCCACATATGAATGAAATCATATGGTATTTGTCTTTCTCTCACTGACTTATTTCACTGACTATTATACTCTCTAGCTCCATCCATGTTGCAAATGGTGAGGTTTCATTCTTCTTTATGACTGCATATATATATATATATATGCAGTGGAATACACACTGTGTACACACACCACATCTTTATCCATTCATCTATCAATGGACACTTAGATTGCTTCAATAATTTGGCTATTGTAAATCATGCTGCTATAAACATAGGGGTGCATGTATCCCTTTGAATTAGTACTTTTGTAATCTTGAGTAAACACCCAGTAGGGTGATTATGAGATTGTAGGGTAGTTCTGTTTTTAACTTTTTGAGTACATCGATACTGTTTTCCACAGTGGCTACATCAGTTTGCATTCCAACCAACAGTGCAAGAGGGTTCCTTTTTCTCCACATCCTCGCCAACACCTGTTGGTTCTTGTGTTATTGATTTTAGCTATTCTGACAGGTATGAGATGATATCTCACTGTAGTTTTGATTTGCATTTCCCTGATAAGTGATGTTGAGCATCATTTCATGTGTCTGTTGGCCATCTGTATGTCTTCTTTGGAGAAATGTCTGTTCATGTCTTCTGCCCAATTTTATTTGGATTATTTGTTTTGGGGTGTTGGGTTTTATAAGTTCTTTATATATTCTGGACACTAAACTTTTATTGGATATGTCATTTGCAAATATTTCCCCCCATTCCATAAGCTGCCTTTTTAGTTTTGTTCATTGTTTCCTTCTCTGTGCAGAAGCTTTTTATTTTGATGTAGTCCCAATAGTTTATTTTTGCTTTTGTTTCCCTTGCCTCAGGGGACCTGTCTAGAAAAAAATTGCTACAGCCTATGTCAGAAATTACTGCCTATGCTCTTTTCTAGGATTTTTATGGTTTTACATCTCACATTTAGGTCTTTAATCCATTTTGAGTTTATTTGTGTGTGTGTTGTAAGGAAGTGGTTCAGTTTCATTCTTCTGCATATTGCTGTCTAATTTTCCCAACACCATTTGTTGAAGAGACTTTTTTCACATTGGATATTCTTTCCTGCTTTGTCAAAGATTAATTGACCATAAGGTTGTGGGTTTCTGGGTTTTCTATTCTGTTCCATTGATCCATGTGTCTATATTTATGCCAGTGCAATACTGTTTTGATTACTACAGCTTTGTAATATACGTTAAAGTCCAGAACGGTGATGCCTCCAGTTTTGCTTTTCTTTTTCAAGATTGCTTTGGCTATTCAGGGTCTTTGGTGGTTCCATACAAATTTTAGGATTCTTTGTTCTAATTCTGTGAAAAATGCTGTTGGTATTTTGATAGGGATTGCATTAAATGTGTAGATTGCTTTGGGTAATATGGGTATTTTAATAATATTTGTTCTTCCAATCCATGAGCATGGAATGTCTTGCCATTTCTTTGTGTCATCTTCAATTTCTTTTTTAAAAATTTTTTATTGTTATGTTGATCACCATACATTACATCATTATTTTTTGATGTAGTGTTCCATGATTCATTGTTTGTGCATAACACTCAGTGCTCCATGCAGAACATGCCCTCTTTAATACCTATCACCAGGCTAATCCATCCTCCCATCCCTCTCCCCTCTAGAACCCTCAGTTTGTTTTTCAGAGTTCATAGTCTCTCATGGTTCGTCTCCCCCTCCGATTTCCCGCCTTCATTCTTCCCCTCCTGCTATCTTCTTTTTTTTTCTCTTAAGATATATTGCAATATTTGTTTCAGAGGTATAGATCTATGATTCAACAGTCTTGCACAATTCACAGCACTCACCATAGCACATACCCTCCCCAATGTCTATCACCCAGTCACCCCATCCCTCCCACCCCACCCCCCACTCCAGCAACCCTCAGTTTGTTTCCTGAGATTAAGAATTCCTCATATCAGTGAGGTCATATGATACATATCTTTCTCTGATTGACTTCGCTCAGCATAACACCCTCCAGTTCCATCCACGTCGTTGCAAATGGCAAGATCTCATTCCTTTTGATGGCTGCATAATATTCCATTGTGTGTGTGTGTGTGTGTGTGTGTGTATATATATATATCACCTCTTCTTTATCCACTCATCTGTTGATGGACATCTTGGCTCTTTCCACAGTTTGGCTATTGTGGACATTGCTGCTATTAACATTGGGGTGCCCCTTCGGATTCCTACATTTATATCTTTAGGGTAAATACCCCATAGTGCAATTGCTAGATCGTATGGTAGCTCTATTTTCAACTTTTTGAGGAACCTCCATACTGTTTTCCAGAGTGGTTGCACCAGCTTGCATTCCCACCAACAGGTAGGAGGGTTCCCCTTTCTCCACATCCCCGCCAACATCTGCCGTTTCCTGACTTGTTAATTTTAGCCATTCTGACTGGTGTGAGGTGGTATCTCATTGAGGTTTTGATTTGGATTTCCCTGATGCCAAGAGATGTTGAGCACTTTTTCATGTGTCTGTTGGCCATTTGGATGTCTTCTTTGGAAAAATGTCTGTTCATGTCTTCTGCCCATTTCTTGATTGGATTCTTTGTTCTTTGGGTGTTGAGTTTGATGAGTTCTTTATAGATTTTGGATACTAGCCCTTTATCTGATATGTCATTTGCAAATATCTTCTCCCATTCTGTTGATTGTCTTTTGGTTTTGTTGACTGTTTCTTTTGCTGTGCAAAAGTTTTTGTCTTGATGAAGTCCCAATAGTTCATTTTTGCCCTTGCTTCCCTTGCCTTTGGCAATGTTTCTAGGAAGAAGTTGCTGCGGCTGAGGTCGAAGAGGTTACTGCCTGTGTTCTCCTTTAGGATGTTGATGGACTCCTGTCTCACATTTAGGTCTTTCAACCATTTTGAGTCTATTTTTGTGTGTGGTGTAAGGAAATGGTCCAGTTTCATTCTTCTGCATGTGGCTGTCCAATTTTCCCAACACCATTTGTTGAAGAGAGTGCCTTTTTTCATTGGACATTCTTTCCTGCTTTGTCAAAGATGAATTGACCATAGAGTTGAGGGTCCATTTCTGGGCTCTCTATTCTGTTCCATTGATCTATGTGTCTGTTTTTGTGCCAGTACCATATGGTCTTGATGATGATAGCTTTGTAATAGAGCTGGAAGTCCGGAATTGTGATGCCACCAGCTTTGCTTCTCTTTTTCAACATTCTTCTGACTATTCGGGGTCTCTTCTGGTTCCATACAAATTTTAGGATTATTTGTTCCATTTCTTTGAAAAAAGTGGATGGTATTTTGATGGGGATTGCATTGAATGTGTAGATTGCTCTAGGTAGCATTGACATCTTCACAATATTCGTTCTTCCAATCCATGAGCATGGAACGTTTTTCCATTTCTTTGTGTCTTCCTCAATTTCTTCATTGAGTATTTTCTAGTTTTCTGAGTACAGATTCTTTGCCTCTTTGGTTAGATTTATTCCTCAGTATCTTATGGTTTTGGGTGCAATTGTAAATGATATCAACTCCTTAATTTCTCTTTCTTCTGTCTTGTTGTTGGTGTATAGGAATGCCACTGATTTCTGTGCATTGATTTTATATCCTGCCACTTTACTGAATTGCTGTATGAGTTCTAGCAGTTTTGGGGTGGAGTCTTTTGGGTTTTCTACATAAAGTATCA